TCAGAAGATAAAATCACAAGTCTTTGGTTTCCTGAAAGCAGTTTATTTGCTTCTTCATCAAATGCAGACTTACCCAGCTAAATGTTATCCAATCACAAAAAAATAATGGCAGATTAGAATTCCTCACACTCAAAAATATATATTTAAGACCGCTCACTGAAGAAATTTGCAAATATCAAGTTTTGCTCCTTAAAATGGCACACCCTAAAATGACATCCCCATTGGATACGATTTCCCAGCCTGGCTGGTATGCTCACACACTGTGAGATAGGACTGTTCTGCCCTGTATTTGTCACATGCAGCATTGCTTTCATTCAACTGCACTTCATCTTCCAGCAAAAGCTACATTATTCATAGACTCATAGAATCACAGATTTGGAAGGGACCCCAAGGGTCATCTAGTCCAACCCCTGCTGTCCCCACTGGCAAAATGATATAACTTGTGAAATCGATTATGCACATTAAGTACACTGTTGTTATTCCACCCCATTCATGACAATGCAAAGGAAACACAATGCAAATGGGGAAGAAGAAAACCATAATCAATTACATATACCACAATCAATTATATATAATTTGTGGGCTAAAAGCAAGAACAGCAAATACCGATCAAATTTCTGGACTGATGTCCAAACAAATAACAACAACAACAAACACAACAACCATTTATTTATACCCCACCCATCAGACTGGGTTTCCCCAGACACTCTGGGTGGCTCCCAACAGAATATTTAAAACACAATAAAACATCAAACATTAAAAACTTCCAATAATAATAATAATAATAATTTATAAGTGAATGACAGCAACTTCTGCTGTTCCTGTTTTACGTCTGAATTCTTTGACAGCCCTACTCTTGGACTGCACTTATCTGAAATCCTTTTTTAAAATTCCCTGTACAGTGGTACCTTCTGGTTACGCACGCTTCGGGTTACGAGCTCCGCTAACCTGGAAGTAGTGGCTCCTGGTTGTGAACTTTGCCCCAGGATACAAGCAGAATTGTGCACCAGAGGCGCACGCAGCGGGAAGCGCCATTAGCGAAAGCGCGCCTCAGGATAAGAATGGTTTCAGCTTAAGAACGGACATCTGGAACGAATTAAGTTTGTAACCAGAGGTACCACTGTACTCAAAACAGTTGTCCTGTTAAAAAGTTAATATTATTTTTAAGAAATTCTTCTCTAGCATGGTTGTTTTAATTCTAAAACATTTTCTCATATAAGAGTGAAAGTGGGGAATACTCCAAGGAATGGACAGAAGAAGGAAGGGCAGAGTCTGACTCTAGATGTCTCTCTAAAACTGTGCCAAGTCTCCATCTAAATGTCTTTGTTAATAAGCAGGATTAAACTTAGAAAACGTATCTGCTGTAGGCAAAAATCAGGAGCACCTGGTATCCAGGCAAAGAGACTTTCTCCAATATTTGCTGAAAGATGGAGATGGAATTGATTCCAGATGTCCTGAGGCAAGTTATATAGATCTGACTCAAACCAGGCATGCAGAGCTTCCCTGCATCTTTCAGGGGACTAGGTTATGTCAGGGGGGGGGGGCTTTTGTGTTGGGCTTGTAAATTTTACAGGAGCACTTTGCTGGCTGGTCCAGCTATTTGATATCTCAGCCTATCCTTAAGCTAATCAAGAGATGAATCAAAGGTCCACTGCTACAAAGACCTTACTAGGCCTAGGTAAAGGTAAAAGGTAAAGGACCCCTGGACGGTTTGTTGTTGTTGTTTAGTCGTTTAGTTATGTCCGACTCTTTGTGACCCCATGGACCAGAGCACGCCAGGCACTCCTGTCTTCCACTGCCTCCCGCAGTTTGGTCAAACTCATGTTTGTAGCTTTGAGAACACTGTCCCACCATCTCGTCCTCTGTCGTCCCCTTCTCCTTGTGCCCTCCATCTTTCCCAACATCAGGATCTTTTCCAGGGAGTCTTCTCTTCTCATGAATGTGGCCAAAGTATTGGAGCCTCAGCTGTCCAGTCAAAGGTGACTATGGGGTTGCTCATCTCACTTTCTGGCCGAGGGAGCCGGTGTTTGTCCACAGACAGCTTTCTGGATCATGTGGCCAGCAGGACTAAACCGCTTCTGGCACAATGGAACACCGTGATGGAAGGCAGAGGGCATGGAAATGCCATTTACCTTCCTGCCGCAGTGGTACCTATTTGTGTACTTGCACTGGCGTGCTTTTGAACTGCTAGGTTGGCAGGAGCTGGGACAGAGCAATGGGAGCTCACCCCGTCATGGGGATTCGAATCACCGACCCTTTAATCTGCAAGCCCAAGAGGCTCAATGGTTGAGACCACAGCACCACCCGCATCCCTAAGACTAGCATGTCTGTGGGTATCTGGTGGTCTCTCCTGGTGTCTTTTACTCAAGCACCATCAACCTGTACCCTCACAGCTCCATTTTCTAAGGCACTTAGTTCAAGAGAGCAATTGTCCATGGTTCTCCAGGGTTCCAGGTAGGAGACATTCCCAGACCCACCAGGAGATGCTAGGGATCAAACCTGGGGTTTTCTGCATACAAAGCAGATGGAGTACAAATGATCTGGCCCAGTATGAGGCAGTTTCACTTAACGGATGTGCATTTTGCTGCCACAGAGATATAGGAATTCTGTGTCAGACCTCTGGTCCTTCCAACTCAGTATTGTCTACACTGACAGGCAGCAGTTCTCCAGGGTTTCAGACAAGGATATCTCCTAGAGCTCCCTGGACATGCAGACCCTCCATGTGTCCCCATTTTCTTGGGACTGTCCTGGATTTACAGAAGGCATCCCAGTTGCTGATTTGATCCCGGAATGGCCCACTTTTCCTTAAGACGTCCCTATTTTCATTGGAGAAATGTTGGAGGGTATGGAGCTATGCAGCGCCCGAGCCAAGGAGATAAGTAAATATGCAACCTTTAGAAGACATCTGAAGGCAGCCCTGTATAGGGATTTTAAAAATTATTCTTTATGTTGTATTCTGTTTTTATAAATGTTGCACTGAGTGGCTGGGCCAACCCAGTCAGATGGGTAGGGTATTATTAATTAAATTTAGTAATAGTAATATAATATTTAATAATAATAATAATAATAATAATAATAATAATAATAATAATAATAATAATAAATAAATAATATAAATAAATAAATAAAATAAAAATAAAATATATATAGGACATCCCTATTTTCATTGGAGAAATGATGGAGTGTGTGGACATGTCAGAGACTGAACAATTATTTATTTCAACTTTCTATATCTCCCAGGTTTTTCATGGTATATGTCAGGATGGCAAAAGAAGCATATCATGGATGAAATTCATTGCAGAAGAGAAAACTTCCTAATAGTGCCTGGCAAAATCGAAAGATCGTCAACCACCTGAATTTCAACAGGGAAGGACCACTGAATGAGGTCCACAATGCTGAACGCCCAGTGCCTGAAACATAATTCCTGTGTAAATGGGGAGTTGCCTGCAATCAGGATACCCTTAAGGAAACAAGCTGTTGGAATACGTGAGGGCGGAGGCAGGTGGGTGGGAGCTGGCTGTGAGCAGACTGAGGTTGATGAAGCAGCGCTCCATTTGCCCTCGTGGACCAGTCTCCATTGCCCCACCTCCACCACCATGAGTCTTCTCTATGCCAAGCAGATGTTCTACCATGGATCCCAAGCACCTTCTGCAGCAACTGGGCGAAAGAACTGGAAACGAGCTCAGTGGTTGAGATCCTGTTTTGCATGCAGAAGGTCCTAGGTTCAGTCAGCAACATCTCCAGGCAGGGCTGGGAGACACCTCATGCCTGAAACCCTGGAGCGACGCTGCCAGTTGGTGTATACAACACTGAGCTTGGTAGAGCAATGATCTGACTTGGTGTAAGGCCCCTTCCTATGCTATATTTTCCTTCCACATCAAGGAAAGGAGCTGCACTTTGGAGGTGATTAGCCCCGCTGGCATGGAAATCAATCACCTAGTTCCTATTTACAGACGTTCTTGCTAATGCAGTGTGGAACTCGATGGCCTATCAGCATTTCTCACAAGCAATCAATTGCTCCATATTGCAGTGGGAAATTGTTAACTGGAGACACATCATTCTGTCCAACTTTATTTTCTCGCTCTCAAAGTCAGGTGGAAACTACCATTCGCAGGCACCCAGGAAGGACAGAAGTGACCAACTGGCAACAATAACTGGAGGACTGAGTTTAAAAGAAAACTTTGAATGCCACAGCAAAGCTTCAAAGGGAGCTTTGAACTGCTCCTGGAACATTTTGCTCATGGGCCAAGTTGTTTAACTTGAAGTGATGAGCTTGTCAGTAAAAGGATGCATGGGGAATGTGTGCCATTTTCTTTTTGTATTTCTACATTTAAATATTTAGCCTTCCGAAAGGAATATTCTCATGGAGAGTAAGTACTGAAAGCATTCTGTAAATAGCAACTGGGTTTATTCTGCAAGTTCATTAGTTTTCTAAAACAACGCAACACTGATTGATTGGGGAGACTGCTTCAGGCAAACAAGAGAACTGAAGTGTGCTGGCTGCGACATGAACTTTCTCAGTATCTTATGCAACCACTATTGAAGTTTCCAATCTCAAGGTGGCTTAAGAACTTGAGAGACCTTCTGAATGAGACCCAAGGCCCATCTAGTCCAGTGCCCCAGTTCTCTGACCAACCAATGTCTATGGTTCATATGCATTTTAGGCCACCCATAAAATCTTCAAGAAGGCTACAGGGCAGTAAGTGTAATTTCTTCACATTTATATCCAACCTCTTTTCCATCCTAGAAACCAAGGCATCATATGTGGTTCTGAAGTAGCTGCCTATCCAAGTACAGATCAGATCCAGACCTGCTTTACTTCAAAGTAGTAGTGGACTTGTGTACCTTCAGACCACACCCTGGCCCGAGTGCATTTGGGTTGTCCCACTCCATTTTGCCAAAGAGCTTCCAACAAAAGTTCATCCCTAACCAGAACACCACATGACTACAGATTCATGCCAATAATTTATTTTATTCTTGAACATTACACTACACAAACTTGACTTTTCTCTTTTTCTAAAGTGATGAGAGGATTCAGCTGCTGCTCTTCAAACTGAGCTTGTCAAACAGGTACTCCCCTGAGCCATTCTGGGGCAGTCCCAGGCGCTTCAGGTTTGTGAGGTGGTCTCCCAGCTGCTTGATGACCTTCACCTCTTCCTCCAGGAACTCAGACTCCAGGAAGTCACACAGCTGAAAGGTGAAAGACAAGCACTGGTCAACTGCACATATTATTCACCGTAAGCTATGGACAAAGAGAATCTACCACCCTACAGATGTTGGATTTCAGATCAAACCAGCCTGCCTGAACAGTGATTGGAGTTTGAGATAGCTACAATCCAACCACATCTGGAGGGTCACAGATTTCCTACCAGTGGTTTAAAACTTTTGTATACATCTTGTTTAAGAACTGGGTCACAAGGGGAATAAGGCATGTAGCTTTAACCTTCTCTAGATAAGCTGAACCAAAACCACCAGCCACCAATTGTGTCAAATCATGGAAGGGCTACAACAAGGCTACACCCTTCCAGTTTTTAAATGCCACAGAGAAATTAAAGATACTAGGCATTGGTACTGGTTTTATGGAAGAAAACAAACCTTGCATGTGGAATGGGCATTTTTACAGGTAGCTCAGAGCTAACTAACCCTCCTAATCTTATGAGGCACGAGGAAGGCTCCTGGAGAATGTAGCATTGTTGAGAACTTACATGAGGGTCTCCCTTCTCTGTTGCCAGCTTGTGCAGATCCAGCAAGGCCTGGTTCATCCTTTTCTCCAGCTGCAGGGCCGACTGCAGGGCATCCAGGCTGTTGCCCCACTCGTCCTTCTCTGGCTTCTGTGCCAAAAAGCAGATACAGAGACTCAGAACACCAGCCTGTGTCTTGCTACATGCAAACAGCAATATCAAATCACAACACACACTCTCCTCCCAAATGAAGCCCAGCTAAAGATCTTCCATGTTCACTTACCTTGAGGTCCTTCAGCAAGATGCGCCCCCCTCTCTTGTTCTGGTATTTCAGGAACTTGTCTGCATGCTCCCACTTTTCTTCGGACTGCTCCTTCAGGAACTTGGCCATGTGACACAAGGCAACATCATCCCGGTCAAAGTGGTAGGACTGGAAGGGGAAGGAAAAATAAAGGTCACAGTCAAATGAGGACATGTCGCCAGTATACAAGCATATCCCTTCCCACCCCAGGTGTGCCCATGTATTTTGGACTCACTGTTCTCCACTTTGCATTGACACAACATCTGAAAAGATACTACTTGAATAGATGGCCTACTGTAGCAGTAGTACAGATAGAGAGTTGGTTGACCACCTTCAGCCCCCAGACCTGAGCTTCTCCACAAGCACCCTCCACGTAGAGGTAGTAAAAGCAAACTAAAACCCCCTCCAGTGTACTGGAAAAGCTTCCTAGTTACCATAATAACTACATTCTTACAGTGCAGAATGCTAATTATAACAATTCAGCATGGTTATTTCACTTAGGGTTCTAACAGGTCTGGAATTGAAAGACATGGTAAAGCATCAAGGGTCTACCAGACCCTGTAACCATTACAATTTATCAAAAGCACATTCTCCCACCTATTGCACACTTACTTAGAAAAACAACCCAATAAGCTACATGAGAATTGAAGCTTAACAAACATACCTAAGACTGGGGTAAATCTAAAATTACACAAACAAGTTGCAACCAGGTTCTTCCTATTAGATAGCCAAAAGTCACTTACCATAGACAGATAAACATAGCTAGCATTCAACTCCAGATTCACCAGCTGGTTCAAGGTAGCTTCACAGTCAGCATGGAAGTTCTGGCACACCTGAGAAGACATCTCTGTAGCCTAGCAAAATAAACTGAGACCAAACAACACTACAAGCCCTACACTGCTGTTGGTGTAGAAAAACCGTGCAGCCCTAGTGGTTTTTATACCATTTGGGGCAGGTAACTTGTTTGTGATTAGCAGTAGAATCATCCAATAGAAATGCCAGTTGGCTCTGGGGGTGGGAGGATGACTCAGCAGAATGGGAGAAAGCTAGCAGCTGATGACAGTTTGGTCTCCACCTAGTAATCAAGTCTTATTTGACCATTTCCTGCCCCTTTTTTTTTTAAGAGAGAGAGGGGGGGATACTTAATGAGTTTTTTTGTTTGTTTGTTTTTTGCACTACTTTGTGGGTTGTTTCCATCACAGCTGCAGGAGTTTAAGGAAGAAGCATGAATGTGTAGGGAAGAGCAAAGACTCACAGCACAATCCTAGGGCATGCCTACACAGGAACAATTCCATTGAACTCAATGGGAACTCAATGCTTCTGAGTAGGCATGCATTGGACTACACTATGAACTTTGAAGAGATGTGCAGAGCTGGGAGTGAATTCATGCATAAGAGCAAATCTGTCACCTTCTTCATTCTACTGCACAAGTGAAAGACGAGCATATAGGAACTCGAACTGGGTGTGTGTGCAAATTTTACAATTATTCATCATAACCTCAGATTCAGTAAGAGATACATAAGGTAAAGTATTGTACTCAGCCTTGAGGGCCAGTGTGGTGTAGTGAGACAAAAGCATGGGTAGCTATCATGGCACCCACCAGATGTTCCTGGAGTCCAACAACATCTGGAGGACAACAGGAGTCTTTCTTAGCCCATTCAGGAGATGCTGGGGTTTGGACATAGGAATTTCTTCATGCAGCCCATGCATTATTACATTTCCCCTTATGCAGGGATGAGGAATCTGTCGCCCTTCTGATGTTGTGGGACTACTGCTCCCACCGCCCTTGTTTATTGGCCACACTAGCTTGGCGGATGGAGGCTGGAGTTCAACAACATCTGGAGGGTCAAAGGTTCCCCATCCTTGCATAGCTGTCAATGTTTCCCTTTTTTAAGGGAAATTCCCTTATTCCAAATAGGATTCCTCGCAAGAAAAGGGAAAAGTTGACAGCTATGCACCCTTGCCAAAGCCAGAGATCAATAAAGGAACAGGATAGGAGGAAAACTCATCACCCATGTGGATTACCATTGAACATGAGCCATGAAAGCGCCATTCTCTACAAGTGACACCACCATGCATGGATTGGTGCAGCTCCCTTTTAGGATTTTGTATTACCCCCCCCCACACACACACAGGTAGTGGATTGTCAGGTGATAGATAGACAGGCACACATAGACAGGCTTGTGTTTTCCTCTAAATGATTCAACATGGACTTGAAGAGCAACAGCAGCAGCAGCAGCAACAAAAGCAATTTTATTATTTATATGCCGCCCATTTGACTGGGTTGCCCCAGTCACTCTGGGCAGCTCCCCACAAAATATTAAAAACACAGTAAAATATCAACTATTAAAAGCTTCCCTGAACTGGACTGCCTTCAGATGTCTTCTAAAAGTTATACAGTTGTTTGCCTGTTTCATATCTAATGGGACGGCATTCCACAGGACGGGCACCACTACTAAGAAGGCCCTCTGCCTTGGTCCCTGTAGCTTCACATCTCACAATGAGGGACATGCCAGATGGCCCTTGGAGCTGGACCTCAGTGTCCAGGCTGGACGGTGGAGGTGAAGATTACCCCTTCGGGTATACAGGGCTGAGGCTGTTTAGGGCTTTAAAGGTCAACACCAACACTTTGAATTGTGCTCGGAGAGTTCGAGCAAGATTTCTGTATCTCTCACTGAAGCACCAGAGACACCTCTAGAACTCATGAACATCCAATGAAAAGGAATGTTGGAAGATCCAGGACAGAAAAAACGAAGTACTTCCTCATGCAGTTAAACTATGGAACTATGGAAGGCAACGATGACTACCAACTTGGAAAACTTTAAAAGAGGAATAAAGAAATACATGGAGAACAAAGCCATCAATGGCTACTAGCCACCATGGCTATGCTGTGCCTCTATGGATGGAAGCAGTAATGCATCTGTATTCCAGTTGCTTGGGGTGATGGTTTTGTGATGGGGTCCTTCTTATGGGTCTACAACAGGCATCTGACTGCCCACTGTGGGGACACGATGCTGGACTAGACGGGCCATTGGCCTGATCCAACAGGACTCTTGTTATGTTCTTATGACAAAGCACTAGCTTATGACATCCTGCACATCACTGGCCTTTCCAGAAAGCCCTGCATTGTGGTAAAAATAATGGCAATCTGCTGCCTTTTATTGGTACCCAAAATCTGATGCCAGGGATGGGTTACTCCCAGTCACCCTCTGTTGGTCCTGTCTGGCTTCTTCTTCCGCACTATGCCATTCTGATCAATGGCTGCATTTAGGGGAAAATGTCTCAGGTGAACCTACTTCACGGGGTTATTGTGAGGATAAAGTGTGGAAATCTGAATATATATACCTCTGTAGAGGAACAGTGAGATAGAAGTGCCATTAATAAAACTGTATGAGCATGAGAACATGCAAGAGAACATGCAAAGAGCCTGCTGGATTAGGCCCATCTAGTCCAGCATCCTGTTCTCACCGTGACCAGCCAGAAGCCTGTGGGAAATTCATAAACAGGATTCAAGTGAAAGAGCACTCTCTCCTCCTGTGAACTGGAGCAACTGGGATTCAAAATAATTAGCGCAGGCATCCCCAAACTCGGCCCTCCAGATGTTTTGGGACTACAGTTCCCATCATGCTCTGGTTATCTCCCACTTGGACTACTGCAATGCGCTCTACGTGGGGCTACCTTTGAAGGTGACCCAGAAACTACAATTAATCCAGAATGCGGCAGCTAGACTGGTGACTGGGAGCTGCCACCGAGACCACATAACACCGGTCTTGAAAGACCTACATTGGCTCCCAGTACGTTTCCCAGCACAATTCAAAGTGTTGGTGCTGACCTTTAAAGCCCTAAATGGCCTCAGTACAGTATATCTGAAGGAGCGTCTCCACCCCCATCGTTCTACCCAGACCCTGAGGTCCAGCACTGAGGGTCTTCTGACGGTTCCCTCACTGCAAGAAGCCAAGCTACAGGGAGCCAGGCAGAGGGCCTTCTCGGTAGTGGCACCTGCCCTGTGAAACACCCTCCCACCAGATGTCAAAGAGAACAACAACTACCAGACTTTTAGAAGACATCTGAAGGCAGCCCTGTTTAGGGAAGCTTTTAATGTTTGATGTATTACAGTATTTTAATATATATTCTTTGGAAGCCGCCCAGAGCGGCTGGGGAAGCCCAGCCAGATGGGCAGGGTATAAATAATAAATTATTAGTATTATATTATTATCATCCCTGATCACTTGTCCTGTCAGCTAGTGATGATGGGAGTTGTAGTCCCAAAACAACTGTAGGGCCGAGTTTGGGGATGCCTGCATTAGTGTCTCCAAACATGGAGGGAGAGCACTACTATACCTGAGAGTAAACCCATTGAAAAACTGGAATTTACTTCTGAGCAGATATAGAGATATAGATTGTACTGAAAGAGATTGAACATACGATTGTCAATAGGGCCTTAGCAATTCCACAATGTTCACTGAACTTCACATTGGCCAGCATAGGTGCCAACTCCCTGGGGCCCTGTGTGCCCGAGCACCCACAAAATTCCCCATAATGAGGGCGAGTACCCACAGTGCCAGGGCCATGCATGCTGTATGGCACCCACAGCCCCAGGCACCCACGGTCACGGGGCCAAGTTGGCCCTCCTGTAATGGCCAGAATCGCCTTCCAGAAATTTTCACCTGTGACTTCATCAGATGTTGCATTAGCAGAAATTCTGCAAGTGAAATCTGTCCATCTATGTGGGGAAATTGCACCAGCTGTTTTCTTAAAGATATAGGAGCCCAGCTAGAAAACAAAGAGGTCAAAGAACTTTGTTGTAGGCAGACAGTTAAATTATTAAATTTTAAAAAATATAATAATTACAAACCAACACAGTCAAAGAAAGTACAGTAAAATCAATAGTTTAGAAAAATAATAACGAAAAGGAAGGAAGAGTAATTGTGCTGCACCATCCCAAAGCAATATTGTTCGGTATCTTTACATTACATGCAGCCTTTCAAACTGAAATTGGAATTTATTGTTGGGGAAACTCATAAATTAAAAATGCTGGAAGTGGGTGGGTATGGGGAAGGAGAGGAGGAGATAGTTTCCCTATGCTCAGATGCACTTTTAATGCATTTCTGTTGCTTGTAGAAATTGCTGTCAGCTACTTAAGCACAACTGCAACTTTCAGACTTCTAGATGTGCCAAAGCAGGGGTCAACAAACTTTTTCAGCAGGGGGCTAGTCCACTGTCCCTCAGACCTTGTGGGGGGCCAGACTATATTTTGAAGGGGAAAAAATTAAACAAATTCCTATGCCCCACAAATAACCCAGAGATGGATTTTAAATAAAAGCACACATTACAAACACCAGGCAGGCGCCACAAATAACCCAGAGATGCATTTTAAATAAAAGCACACATTCTACTCATATAAAAACATGCTGATTCCTGGACAGTCTGCAGGCCGGATTGAGAAGGCGATTGGGCCGGCCCCGGCCCCTGGACCTTAGTTTGCCTACCCATGTGCCAAAGGCTTCAAAGTGCTTTACATAATGATGTGAAGGTGGAGAAAGACATCACCACACAGTTCGGGGCTATCCAATGTTTTTGGGTCCAGGGACACATTTGCAAATGTAAAAAATTGCTGGGAATACCCAAAATACCCATCTGACTGGGGGAAGTCCATGATGCCAAGAACCCCACTTCCAAACAGGTAAAATAACCGAGCCCCAAAACCCATCCCCCATGGAAATAAAGACATGGTGGAGACAGAATTTAGTTTAAATGCTAGTGGGCAAATTTTGGCCACAACTTTATTAAATACACAAATGTGACTGGTATTGACTTAGGTATTGGTATCAAAACTATAACTGGCTCCTGCCCCACCCTGCAGGAAGCCTTGAAGGGTAAACAACCAG